TGAAGTGTAGCCTCAGTTGAAGCACCATGGCTGCTGGTGTGGCAGCCCATGAGGGGGGGGTAAATGTTGTCAGATTGAGGAAAAAATTCACCAGGAGAGTTTTCTTGACTAATAGAATGAANCCCTCATCAACCTTGAAGTGTAGCCTCAGTTGAAGCACCATGGCTGCTGGTGTGGCAGCCCATGAGGGGGGGGGAAATGTTGTCAGATTGAGATTTTTTCCTCAATCTGACAACATTTCCCCCCCCCTCATGGGCTGCCACACCAGCAGCCATGGTGCTTCAACTGAGGCTACACTTCAAGGTTGATGAGGGAGGGGTACATGTTGTCAGATTGAGGAAAACATTCACCAGGAGAGTTTTCTTGACTAATAGAATGAATTCTGGGGTTTGGAGCTTAGACTTTCAGTTATTTTAAGGACCACCCTTATCTGCAGGGATGTTCATTACATGATGCCAATAACAAGTAGAGTTCCATGAGGTTGTTCTGAAATGAAAGACATTTGCTTACAAATTACTTGAGGATAGATACAACTACATTTGAATGAATTTCAAGAACCGGGACATTAACCTTTTCAATACACGCGTAAAGTAGAAACTTGTTTGAGAGATCAACTCAGAGGTTAAAGTTGAATATGGAAACGTGCTTCTTAGATTGGTGCAGTGATGACCTAGACCGAAACGGAAGTTAGCATTGCAAAATAAGGATCTGTGGCGGACACGTGTATATTTATATATTTTTTTCGCAGGAAGGTTAGTCTCGAGATGTTAACACCACTTTTATAATAGTTGAAGTGTACAATAGCTATAAGTAAAAAGCTGACGCTGACTATTAAGAAACTAATGCAAATAGCTGTGCACCACCATTGCTGACTCGGCTTATGTTAAGCGTAATGACGGTTAGTAGTGTCATTTAGTCACTTTTTGAATGATTCATAGAATCTTCTAGATTCAGGAGTGGGGGATTTACTGACATAGATCAAAATGTGATAATCTCTTAAGCTTGTATTTACTACATTCCCTGTTTCAGGAATCTAACGAAAAATCAGTGATTTCGAGACGAGGTAACTGGAAAATAATGAAACTAATTCTCTGGTTTTAGGACTTATTCCTGTACCACGCTTTTACTATTTTGGGTATTAAGTGCCTGTTATGTTTCTCTGCTACACATTGCGGATCCAGTGTGGAGATAAGTCTCCTGGGATCAACACCCTGATGTTGGGGTTTTGTCTGGCTGAGTGCAAGCATACTGCTTCTGGTCATATCTTACACATTGCACCTTTCACAGGAGCAGACAGTTGATACAAACCTCGACAGCATGGGTCATGCTGCTGACGGCATCTTCTGTGATGTTGTCCAGGCCCAGCTCGAAGGCTGTCACCATCATGCGGGCCTCCAGCTGGCCCCGCGTGGGCAGCAGCAGGGTGTGGGCACTGAGGCGCAGCTCCTCCTCCTCGCCCCCCACCTCGCGGGGGCTGAACGGCTGGGCGGCGCTCAGGGGGTTCTGAGGCTGGAAGCGATGCTGAGGGCGCAATCAAGAGACACAAAGATCAAAATGATGCAACAAGAATGCACCTACTGATTGATTAAATGCCACTAGTGTATAAAATAAACATTATTTAAGCAGTTACTTGAAATACATTTGACAGAGCTGCTGTTTACTTATCACCATCTGACAATAAGTACTTACATCAAATTTCTGTCTGGAGGAACATTTCTTCTTTCCTTTTGGTTTCCCAGGCTTTGAAGCAGAGCCACCTTGCCACTGTAATGGCCCTGCGCCCTCTAATGGACATTAAAAGGAACAAAAGAAGCAAAAAGACACATTGTAACTAGACGCCGTCATTGGAGCTCTCGTTAACGTGTTTATGTAGTCATTGTACTGTGTTTGACGACAACTTCCCTGTTCCCCATGTATGTTGTTGCTGATTGTGTGCACCTGGTGCCCGGTGTTGTCTCCTCCCCCCTCACCTGTGTCTTGTTAGTCTGGGTATTTAGGTGCTGTTTCTTGTTGGGCTGAGTGGGGGGGTGTGAGATCCTGGTGGCTGCAGGCTGGGCTCACGTGAACAGCAGCAGGATTGAGGCGGTGTGAACTTTGTGCACATTGTTTTAATAAATGCCCACGTCGGGTTATATTTTTGGACGTTCTGCCTCTGTCTCCGTGCTTTGGTCGGGGCCGGCTCAACGGTCAGTCTCACAATTGGTGTCAGAAGTGGGATTCGACCAAGTGAGGAAAGTAAAAATTGACGAGAGGAAAGAAGAGGAACCGAAGAGAGGAACCCGCGGTTGGGGGTGGCTATGCCTGGAACTGACCAGGGGCCACGGCTGCTGAAGCAGCGGGAGATGCGAGACAAGCGGCAGGAGGAGAAGACAAGCGGCAAGAGACGGGAGACGAGCGGGCCATTGGAGCGGCGTTTGCGGCCAAGGAGGTGCACCCGGACCCCTGGGGAGTCTGCAGGACCTGGGTCGTGCTGGAGGCGGACCAGGCGCCTTGCAGCAGGGCCGGGACAGCTTTCCGGATGGGTGGCAGCACGACATGTTTGGTGATTACGTTTGAGGTGTGTTTCCATAGCCTCAGGGGAGGGATCTAGTGTGGTCCATAGCCTCAGGGGAGGGATCTGTGTGGCCATAGCCTCAGGGGAGTGATATATTAGGTCCATAGTCTCTGGGAGGGAATCTGGTGTGTCCGTAGCCTCAGGGGAGGGATCTATTAGGTCCATAGTTCTCTGGGAGGGATCTGGTGTGTCCATGGCCTCAGGGGAGGGATATATATTTAGGTCATCATAGCCTCGGAGGGATCTGGTGTGTCCATGCCTCAGGGGAGGGATCTATATTGTCCGTTCTAGACACTTCAAGGACTTGAAGAAAGCCAACTTGGCTGGTCATCCCAGATTGTACTATGCGCTTTAGAAAGGGTAAATGTAAAAGGGAGGTTACTGGTGCGCTTTAAGGAGAAAAGGGGGGAATGTAACGAGACGCGGTTACTGGACGCTCTTCGTTAATTCGTGTTATGACTAATCATCTGTACTGTGGTTGACAAACACCTTCCCGTTCCCCAGTATGATGGATTGCTGATGTCGTGCCACAACCTGAGATGCCAGGGGAGGTTCAAAAATCTCTCCCGCACACAGCACAAAAACAACTCCACACATGGACATGTTAGTCTATGTACTGTAAGGTGCTGTTATCTTAGTTGGAAAAGAGAGGGAGAGAGAGGAGAGAATGGAGAAAGAAAACCAACTTGGCTCCATACAGATAAAAACACAGCAAGAGAAATAGGACAACATATTAACACATATAGAGGTAAAATAAATACACAACACACAAAACACACCAAACAAAAGCCGGGTATATTTTGGCGTTCTGTCTCTGCCAACGAGAGTAGCAGACATGTCGAGAAGAGCGTCAACGGTCAGTTCTCACACACATTAAGACAACAATACGATATCCCACACACAACAAAAGAACAGCTTTTAATAACAATATAGATAACACCCAACATTATCAATTTAGCGTGGGTGGGCAAACTGATCTTTTCATCATCATATTTCCCAACCTTTGCCTAATTAAAACCAAAACAAAAGCTTCTGCATTCCATCACTAAACAAATAACTTAACCACTTTTTATTATCTTAAAATGACCGATAATGGCCAGTACCGAAGGTATTGAAGTAAATTGTAACATAAAACTTTGGCTAGTAATGTACAAAATATTGTGTTAGTCAAAAGTAAAAAAAACTTAGACTGAAATATCAGAACTTCTTGTGCAGTTTCAGAGAGTTAGTAAATGGCCTTGCTGCGTAGACCCGTGTATGTGCTGGTCACCACGTGGTCCCAGGCAATTTGCAATTTGTTATTTGGATTTGTCTTTAAATCTACATTGGCTCATTTACTGTATTTCATTTTGGTTGGTATCTCTCCTTTATACTTGTCATATTCCATATCCTTAGACAGTGCTTTCTCAAAAGTGCGGCCCCGCGGGCCAACTGCGCGGCCCTCGGAAATGTTTCCTCTGGCGCCCGCGCATATGTTAACCTGTTAAACCCCATGTACAGTAAAATTAAATTGATGGTCCATCACTCCATTTTTGTGCAAAAAATCCGGAGAAGACCTAAATGATAGCCATTATGGTAGCCCACCCGGAGGCTAGCGCAGCTTCCCGGTTCCTTCTACGCGTCACTCTCACTCCTTATTTTGGTAACCTTCGAATCTCGCCAATCTCGCGAGTTGCCAGTTAAGCGGAAAATCTGTTGTAAAGTTATCAGAAAGGGTGAGTTAGCTAGCGGTTTTAGCTAGTCACTGTCGAGAGCGCGAACTTGGTCCCTCAGACTGAAAGGGATGTTGCATTGTTTTGTTGCCTTCTTTATTTATGTGTATTTTAGGATTTAATTTAGGTTAACTTCCCCAGTTCCGTTTGCATGCTTTTATTTTGAAGGCGAGATAACGGTGTTGACAGGAGTTTGAGGATAGGCCACGAGGGACAACTGACAGATCAGTAAATGCATGTACGGCAAAGAGTTGGTGTGGTTTTGCGTGCTGTGGCTTAATATAAAAAAACACCAACACACAGGTTATACAATAATAAAACACGCTGGTACCTCTCCACAACAAAACATAGAGCACAGGGAGGAATTTAAATACAAACATAGAGAGATAACAACCCCACGCTCGAGCCATCCTAAACTCAACTCCCCTGATTGGATGCACGCGTCCCCAAAGGCCGGCCAAGTGTTCAACCGTGAAGACAGCGGAAACCAAAAATTGGTTTGAGTTCGTTGTGTGCGAAGAAAAATGGGAGAGACAGTGGCCGTCCGCGTAAAAAACGTTTTGTCAGTTGAGGAGAAAAAGGAAAGTCCAGGAGAAATGGGAG